TCCATTTCTATGAGATCCTTTCATTTTCTATCTATTATTTTAAGCAGATATTTAAAGTCACACTCTTAGTGACTTAGAGAAATAGAATTTTCTTATGTAAATAACATTTCAATAGAATTACATTAAGAAGAAAAATATACATATTCTAATCTATTTATGTAAGTGAATGTTCATTTTATATAAAGACGTAGTTCTACGTCAAAAGATATTTGTCGTATTTCCCCACTTCTGGACTCGTGAAAATATTGACGTAAAATTTTTACTAATTTGTTATTATTTAAATATATTACGAGATTTACGCAAATAATTTAAAAGGATTAATATTTTATCGTCGTTGAGGTACTTTGCTAAATCCCGTTCACGCTTACATAATCAAGAGATGAGCATAGACGCCGCATTTTCTATTGTACAGTATCTTTATAAATTCATTAAAGGGGGGAGTAGCCCGAGATAAAGTTTCTCAATCGCGAGAACGTCGATTTAAAAATAGTCCTCGACTCTTTATTACGATCCTTCGATTCACTTTTGCGATTCACGTGCAGTTCGCAGTTTTGCGTAATAATCAGATCGTTTTGTTTTTAGCACTACGCGAGACACCCAGTTATTAATCTTGCGGAGCAAGTCATTATCGATCTTATCAAATTAATCACCACGTGCAGTCAGTTGGGCGATAGCTGTCAGTTTATATGTAAGTAGTCGGATTGTGGTCATTTCGTGGTCAAATGCTTCATACTGCTTATTCCGCCACGCTATCGATGCTCGATTTGTAACATCTCGCACGTCATTCAGCCGTTGTGAGATATTGTTTAACCGACTTGATATTATTTAATTAGTATAATTATTTCTTCTAGAGAGAGAAATGGATAATAAGAAAGACATATATATACATTTTTAACTATATCTTATATTTTACATTTCTTATACAATACAGATGCGATTAATTATTATTTTGTTTGCTTGCTAACTTACTTATATACTTAAAAAGTACTTCAAATTAATTTCTTGTATGCGTAGAATCTATGCATTAAACTTTTAAATTGACGTTCGCTTTCGTACACCAATCAACGTAATCGTAGAAAAAAAAGTAGTAGTATTAATAACAATATAAACGAAAAAAAAGTATTGCATTGACGAGGAAGTTATTAGAGAGGACGTGGATTCGCTGCTTTTTCCGGTCTATAAATATACGTATGTTTAGCGTATATATTTTTGCTCCTCTTCCCCTTTCTCCTCTTCCCTTTTCTCCTCTTCCCCTTTCTCCTCTTCCCCTTCCTCTTGTGTACATGGAGCGGTTACGCCCGGCTCGTTGCCATCTCTTTGCTGTAACAAACAGAAATTTATTTTACAAAAAATAGCGTTTCGACTGGGCCGGGTTTGTTTGCTCAGAGAGCGATTATTGACGTCACATCGGCAAATCGAGCTTTGTCGAAGTGACGTCAATAATCGCTCTCGGAATGAGCAAACTCGGCTCAGTTCAAAATTCTAAAAAATTGAATACCATAACTGTATTTTAATAGATTAATTGTACTTACGTTTTTCTGGAGGAAGACAGGAGTTTCTTGATGTTGTTGGCGTCGCTGGTAGCTGTGCCGGTGTTGGTGCCGCCGGTGGTGCCGGTGTTGTTGATGGTACCGCCTGTGCGTTTCTCACTAACAGCTCTGATAGTGGCGATGGCGATTGAATTGCGGCGAGTTGTCGCAATTTCGCATTTTCTTTTTGTAGCCGCTTCATTTCTTCCTTATCCTTTCTTATCCTCCATATTAACGTCTACGTCAGACGTAGATTCATTATTCTATAAAATAAATGCGTTATATATATATATATATATATATATATATAACGCATTATATATATTATTATATATATATATATATATATATATATATAATATGCGGTATATTATACATATGTTATATACGCGATGCGACGAGTTGCGAGTATCCGAGATTTTGAGATTAATTAAATGTATACTTACATTTATATTAAGTTGGTTGAGTTTATCCTCCATCATGCTTGAAAACGCTTGGTGACGAGGTATCAATGCCACGGTCTTACATACAGGTCCGGAGACTACCGCTAATTCTAGTGGTGGTGGCATGGTCGCTTATCGAAGATGCATTTAGTTTCTAGCATAGCCACTACTCGTCGCTGTCATCGAAGTCCGCAGATGAACGTAACCCGAAAACTCGTATAGCTGAAGCTAGCAGCGGGCGCTAACAGCGAAACGTCTCGCGGGAGGGGGAGGGGCAAGTGGGGGGGGGGGGGGGGGGGGGGGGGGGGGGGGGTACGAACGTATCGTAGGCTAATTATTATCGACCACTGGGTTTTTTTGAGATATAATTAATTATTAAAGATTAAATATATCTATATATATATTTTTAACAATATTTAAACAATTTTCACAGGCCGTGCTTTCGCAGTCTCTATGCGTACTGAACATCGAGATCAAGCCAGCTTTTGCCCTTTTGCTCTACGCGAGGTTTCTGTCCTCGCTGAGCTTGTTCATTGTTTTTTATGTTTTTATCTTCAGGTCTTAATTTTTTTTTAAGATATAATGACATTTACATCTTGCTTCTGAAACTGTAGAAAAATAAAGTAGATAAATAATTTATGGAAAAAATCAATTTTGAAAATTTATGCAAAGTAATACTTACGTTTTGCGTTGATTCGATGAAACTTCACGAGGCTTCATATTGCAATGTCCTGTTTCGTGCAAATAGGACATATATTGCATGGAAATATTGTGTAAAGTAGCTCTCTGCAATTCCTACAGAAACGACCGCTTAACTCGTTGTGCGGGCCGGTTTTATGTTTAGTTATTACTTATTATTTACCTTAATTTCCTTACACACGCTATACGACTAACTAATGGCTTTCCGTGCTGTTTCTAACTTGTGTACTATCACTCTGCGAGTCAGGATCGTACTGACGATCGCTCGGAATCGTTTCTTATGAGTTTCACATTTTATTCCTGAACTAGCTAATATAGTTATCATATTTTTAATATTTGGATTTTTATTGCTTCTAATCCCTTTGAGGGGGGTGGGGGAGATCTTTAGCTTTATAGCTTCTATAGCTTTATCTATAGCTTTATACATGTTATGAGCTTCGTTGCAGATACTAGGTCTTTTCACGTTTTCTATGTCATTCTGCATTGCAATAAGATATGAGGGAGAATTTGGGCTCAACCTCCTTCTCGTAGGGCTGGAGGCCAAAGAACCGCGTTAATGTCGAATACGTCTTCGATATTGTAAATGGCCACAATGTCCTGGCCATATGACATGGCATACCAAAGAGAGTCCAGCTCTTCGTGTTGCCACAGCCTCTCCTCTTGTATTTCTGCTTGCAGCTTATTATTGATGTATCCTTGGACTTTTATATCAGTCGTAAAGATCCACTGGAAAAAATAAATTATAAAAAAATTTTTCGCAATAAATTTAATAATTTAATTTAAAATTATTTTAAAAATGAGATGCTTATATATATAAGTATCAAAGATTATATAAACGTCTTGACGATTAATCGAGTCAAAATCAATGATCGAATCGTCATGACGATAAAAATTATTGCCAGTCAGACCGATTCATACGTCTTAGTTATTATTTCGTACTGGCAAATTACAATTGCATTGAATATAAAAAAAATTGTATACTGTTTTAAAAAATTATGGATATAATTAATAATAAATATAGTTAGATATACTATAGCTTCGGCGGGCGGAAGACCACGTATGTCTCTCCGTATAGCTGCATGTCTCACTCTGCAGTGTCGTAAATATGTAGCGTCCCCATTTCCGGAACGTCTACTACCCATTGAAAAAATTAAATTATAAAAATTATTTTTATAAAACATATAATACACGCAAATACACACACAAATTACGTACCTCGCTTGCAAGAACGGAAACAACTGCGTTTAAGATTTGCCATAGGACGAAGTTGCACGTTGACAATCGAATTAGTTTGATCAAAGATTCGACCACTGTGGACACTGTCTTCTTTCGAGAACAGTCCTAGCACCCACTGGTCGAAGCTCGATCAAAGACGTCGACATTGCGGACTCTGTCCTCGAAAGAGGGCAGTCCCAGCACCCACTCGTCGAAGCTCGAAATATGTCCTCTATTGTGCCTCCTTCATCCGATATCGCATTTTATCGCCTGCATGTTGCAACCAGTTTTTTATGTGCTTGACAATCAATGCAATGGTACAATCAGGTCCTTTTCTTCTAGTTTTATATTTTTCTTTTTTCGCTTTTTTAATGGTGAAAGGTTTATAAAAAAAATAGGTTTTTTAAAAATAAGGTCCCCTAAAGGAGTAACTCTCACCAGGATGTCGTGAAATCGTCGACACAATTTTTTTTAGTTTAGTTTTAATTTGCGGCTTTTTTTTTGCATTAAATAAATTCAAGGAGGGGGATGTACCGAGGTTTACATAGCAAAGTTAGGGGGTGGATTTCATTGTGTGATGTGTCAGAGTTCCCATTTTGAGGATTTTGGTTGGTAGGATGTTTTTCACCCAGGAGGTAGATTTTGAATTTTTATCTATCTATTTGCGAGCTGGTACAGTTACTACAGTTATCGATTTTTAAGATTATTTATTGGAGTAAGCCCCCACTTTTATTGGGGGTGCAACCCATCGCTTCTTCCAGTGACTCATCCAGTTTTTTGACCCTATTTTTTGTATTAACAGACAACGTATAGCCTTTCTTTTTAATTGTAGGTTCACAGGACGTAATAAAATTAAAATAAAAGCTTGCTTGTTTTATTTTGCTAGGATCCTCTGTTTTAGAGAATCCCAGGGACAGCCAGCACACCTTGGAGATTGCTATGCTGGTTGCATCCCATTTGGACGAGCAACTCCTTTAAATTACGTGTCTCATTCTCGCCTTCGGGCCTGGCCTCGAAGTCGACGATGGCAGCTTTGTCCTGACCAATATATACAAAAAATTATATTGTTATTAAATAGAATTATAATAATATTATAATATTTTATAATACTAAATTACGACATTATTAAATACCGACAGGATAATGCGCAATCTCGTGTAAAACGTGTCGCTATGGAATCAACGAATTATAAAAAAAAATTATTAATTTATATGACAAAGATGGCACACCTTTTTCCATTCAGCTCATCGAGTTTACCGGACAGAATCGGAGCTAAACCAAGCCATGTAACATTGCCGGCGATTCCTTCTTGTTGCAGAATTTGCATCGCAGCCTGCATAGCAAAATAATCCATTACCTTGACATTTTTATCAAACAAACTTTTCACAATTTCTTTAAAATATCTCTGCCAATTATACTCTATCACTGGAATGTTTAATTCATTGTCGGACCCTGTTTTGCTTCTAATGCCGTCGATTAAAGGTAAGATCAACTCGTTACGTTGTTTTGTGGGAGTTTTATTTCGATCCAGCGCATCTGGTAAACTTGCAATCGGAGACTTGGGCCCTAACTTCTTAGGTGTTGGTGGAATTTTTTTCTTGCCCGCTTGGCGGGATCAAAATTTTCGAGTTTTCCACGATATCCTGGTGGTCCAATTTTTTAATTTCATTGCCACTGTAGATCTTTTTCTCATTTGTATTTGCCTGAGCGTCCATAGTGAAAGATTTTAAGCATACAGTTTCCAGATGATTTTGATAAGATCTTTTCTGGGTTTATTTATGCAAATGGATCAAACATCGGAAGGTTCTTATTAGATGCGATTTAAAAATTGAGTTTTTGCGTAAATGTATGAAACAACATTGTACCTCCTCATATAGGGAATATTCTATTAAATTTTTAAAACACTCTGTTTAATTATAATCTCAATTAATAGGAAAATTGAACTTAGAGACACGTATTGTCATTCTCAGTTTGCACGTATGCAAATTTATAAACTTTCTGGATCTATGATCGTTGTAATCATTAAAACCGATTAGCTTACCATATTTCTTCTTCTTCTTCTTCAAACTCCTCCTCCATATCGCATAGTCGACGTAAGCCGAAGATATCTTATACGTCACCGGAATTTTTCTATATTTCGTCATTATTCTCCTGATCTATAATCTATAGTTCGGAACCAGCGGACCCAACGCTGGTGCTCAAAATTTAGAAACCCACGGATTTGCACTAGAAAATTATACATACTCCTTTTGGTATTAAATAACTTCCTATGATAACTTCCTTTTCCAATAATTCTTGTAATTTCATTAAAAATCGGGAAGAGTTTCATCGATTCTTGAATACATGCTCTAGTGTATGGTATATACTTCAAGATGTCTTCTGTTATAGGTGACGTTTTTTCAGGCAATACGGTTAGAGTTTCTTTTCGTAGTTTTGTTTCTCTACATTATTCGCTATATAATATAATAATGCAGCCGCTGCGCTGCTATCTATAAAAAAGTATGATTATATAATAACGCAAATCATCTAGATCGTTTTTATTGTTTACAGGCATTGAATTAAAATCCACATATTTACCGTATCAGTTTTTAATAACGCCTCCATAGCCCATACATGAGCTATTTGCTTGTCGCTATTCAACAATTTTTGTAATAGTGTTCGATTTTTTTGTTATATATATATATATATACATATATATAGCGCTGAAAACATTATACAAAAATTTAAAAAAAATGTCAAATCTATGAAAATATTTATACATACCTGATTGTGAAGGATCCGAACCCTCACCATATTTCTAATTCGTATCTCGTGCACGGGCACGTTGTCCACTCATATCCACTGAACAATAAAAGAATGTTAATTTAAAAATATTTTTAATATACAATTATATGTATTATATGTATTATACGTACTCCTGCGGCGGGATAAAGAATTTCGATGTAATCCTCAATTCTGTCCATTCTTTCCTCACGTACTTCATTGGCTGGATGCATAATTTCAATTTCAAAATCTTGCGCGCGGGCTATTTTTCACAAAAAACAACAAAAAAACTCGTTAAAAAAATCGCAAAAACCGTCCGAACACTCGTTTGCAACCGTTCGCAGACTCGATGTGACTGAATTTAATGACGGTTGCAGAACGAAGCGGGTAGAATGAAAACCAAAGTAGAAAAATCACCAAAGAAAAAAATGGTGGCAGTTTAAAAAACG